TACTTGCCTTTGAAGCTGTTGCTCTCTTTCTTGAGATTCTCTCTGTCTTGATTGAAGTTGCTGCTCTGCTTGTAGAAGTTGCTTCTGAAGATTCTGTTCCCGTTCCCTGCCCTCTTGAATTTGCCTCTCTCTTTCTTGCTGTGTTTGTTGAACTTGTCTCTCCTTTTCCTGAAGCAGTCGTTGGCTTTCTTGAAGCTGTTGCTGAAGATCCTGGACTTGTTCTCTGGCCTGCCTCTCTCGTTCCCTGGCCTGTTGAATTTCCCTCTCTCTTTCTTGTGCTTGTTGAACTTGTCTCTTCTTTTCTTGAAGCTGTTGTTGAAGATGCTGCTCTCGTTCTCTGGCCTGCCTCTCTCTTTCTTGTCCTTGTTGCTGTGCTTGTTGAACTTGTTTCTCCTTTTCTTGAAGTTGTTGCTGAAGATCCTGCTCTCTTTCTCTAGCCTGCCTTTCTCGTTCTCTGGCCTGCCTCTCTCTTTCTTGTCCTTGTTGCTGTGCTTGTTGAAGTTGTCGTTCTCTTCCTTCAAGTTGTTCCTGTTCTTTTTCTCTTCTCTCCTCCTGTAGTTCCCTTTCCCTTTCTTGTAGTACACGTGTCAGACGGTCTATTTCTCTTCTATCCTCAGGTTGAACAGGTTGAGATGCTTCCCATTCTCTTCTCCTTTCTTGTAGTTTCTCTTGATACTGGTCCAGAGGTATTATACTAGTAGACCAATCATTATTACTAGTATATCCTATACAGTAACACAATAGTTGAATTAATGACAAGTACACGTACATGCACATTTATAATAATATCAAATACTATTAAAAAGGCTATACTGTTAATTTATAATTATTATATTCAATATGTACAAGTTGTGTGTATTCAATACATTTGTATTTACATGAACTCACTGAGTTCAATAACTGCTGTATCACTTATTGTTATGAGCAAGTTCCTCTTTCCTCCAAACACAATTATCCAGTTAGTGGTTGGAGTCACACTCCAAACTGAGAGAGAATGAGAACATCTCTCAGTGACATTGTCTGGTATATTAACCTATAACAGAAGAAACATTAATAATTATTCAGTATTCGTTTTCTTAGTATTTTATTCTATATTCTATTCCTTAACACTGTATTGTGTATTATACAAACCACACCCACAAACTATAAGCCACACCCTAAACCAATATAGTGTTGTATTATTAATGTAAACCATTCTTTCAGTAATTATTAATTATTTACATTATACAGTATAACATACATAAGTACAATACTTGATCACTAGTACATAATAATAACCAGTTATGATGTATTGTTATCATACTTACCAGTTTCTTCCATGATTTATTGTTAATATCAAATATCCAAATATCATAAGTAGAAAACAATATCTCTATTCCACCCACCACTAGTAGGTGTGGTCCTGAGCTAGTGTTAATCAACACACTGGAATGACCACGTCTTTCCTTAGGCCATTGTACTGATCCTCCAGGATTAGATAACTTTGAACAATTCTAAAGTAATAAAATAAAAACTTAATTATCATAAACCACACCCACACACTCAAGTGTTATGAATAATAATACACACATACAATACATTGTTAATTAATAATTAATGTAATTATACTAATAATACACTCACCACTGATGTATCAGTAAAATTAAGAATATATACGTTGTTACTGTCTCTATTAGCAGTGCCACCTCCAAATAATATAGCACTGGAATTATTAATTGATGTTAAAGTGAATTCATCAATAGGAGGTGGTCTGTCTCCAGTGACAGTCGGTGATATCCATTGTCCTAAAAATATCAATAATAATAATTAGTGTAAGTGGAATGCAAACTAGTTGATATTTCTTTGATCATATTATCAAATAATTAGGAGTGACAACCATGAACAAACAAGCAAGCAATTCTCAATGCAACCAGTCTGAGTGGAGAACCACCAAATAACAATACTTCATTATATTAATATAAACTGTATGTGCTCTGACCTGTTGAGAGTTTATAGAAATGGATCTCATTAGTCTTATCATAACTGTACTGGGCACCAGGTTGTTTGGGTGTATTATTAGAAGATGGTTCAGATCCTCCAATTACTACAAGATAGTCCTCACCGTTCACTTTTATTGCTATCATGTCACAGTAGGCCTTCATTATAGGACCATGATGAGATGTAGTAGGAGACAGTTCCTTCCAGTTGAAGGTATCAACATTAAAACTGTAAACAATATTATATAATAATTATTATCAACTATTGTGTTTACCTGTATAAACTATTATGATAACAGTCATCATGATTGCAATAGCCTCCGAAATAAAATATTTCCCTTCCAATGGCAGCAGCTGCATAGCTAACAACACCCAGTGGAGGGTTACCAGTGGTGGGTTTCTGCTCCCACCTACCAGTCCTTAGGTGGCACACCTCCATCACAGAACACATTGATTTCTTCTTTTCATTATTATGTACTTCAGGGAGACCAGGCTGGTACCCACCCCACATGTACAGGTAGTCTCCTACCCGTACAGTGGAGTGACTATTCCTCTCCACTGGTTGATAGTCTATAGATAACAAGAGGTAACAGTAACTGAATGATACACTAATAGTAACAACACACGAGTCATAATCAAGTATAAACAAAATACTGACCTGGTGTTTTGTCTTTGCGTAGCCAGGCTAGTATTTTGGCTGTCATTTTGTTCACATTTGGAGCCTTGGAGGTACTATCATATACCCCTTTCGGCGAGAAGTAGCAGCTTGTGAATATCATTAATTTTGCAATGAAATCATTATAGACCCCTTTCGGCGAGAAGTAGCAGCTTGTGAATATCATTAATTTTGCAATGAATATCATTATATCTCAGTTACTGTATACACCCACATAAAATAATTGGCTGCCATGTTTTACGTCAAGCAGCAAGTGCTTTCTGTGTCCTGGAGATCTTGGTCACTGCATTTTGAAGCTAAAAACTATTCTAGAGTCAAGAAAGATGCCAAGAGAGCCAACCTAGGAAGTATAGTGCAATACTCTTGTTGTATGAGCCTGCTTTCCTCTTTGGGCTGTGACAGAGAGTCAAGAACTGATCGTTCTGGCTCTCCTAGACTTCTTAAGTCTTCAAAATATCTTGCTATAGTAAAGAACAGTTGATATGAAGCCTCTCATAGTCCTGAGTTCAGCACAACAAAAGTTTTATTGGCAAAACAGCTCTACTTTGCACATCAGCCATTGGGACTCTGCATAACTTTGACGTAAAACATGGCGGACAAAAATCCGTTCAATATTATTTCTTTGTATATAAGGTATCACAAACTAATTCTCGCCTAAAGAGATCTATACCATAGATATTATACGTACATGGATTGGAAACATCACAGGAAGCCAATATTAAAAACTCCTGAAACGTCACTTCCTGTTAGTCAAAGCCATAGATATTATAGACTACGTAACCGGGATTGGAAACAGATCACGTGATCCCATTCAAATCAATGTAATTATTCAGGTACAGTCTCTGTGACAGTGAGAGGCGGACGAAAATCCTTGACATGGCTGTAAAGAATGGTCTCTAGTGAAGTCCCGCAAGCTATTTCACCTGTACTTGGGCTCTTATAATATACTCACATGTTTATATTTTTCTTTGATACAAAAATAAAATGTGTTAGCTGTGTAAAAACAGGTGTTTAAAGCAAGTGCGCTCCCCGTGACAAGAGATAATGTCTTATTCTCCCTCCTGCAAACAAGCTTTAGCTACCCCAGTTTCATTTCATGATTAAAACTATGCACAAGGCCATGCTACATGAGAATAGACTGGTTAGTTCTGCCTGCCATATTACTGAGAGCAGAAATCCACCAAAATAACGCCAAAAAGCGGCCTATCTGTTGTACCTCTCCCGAGCGAACTAAGCATAGAGACACGAAGAGAAAGGTATCGTCGTGATCTCTGGTATTTTCTTTATGCGATTAAGCTACTTAGAACCAGCTACATTACAGTATATTATTAATACGGCTCATCAAACATAACAATTCTTCTTGATTTTCACCATTTTGATGCAAATTCATGCAATTTCATGCATTAATAATCACACAGTCTTTACACGTGACGTCATCAGTTTCCAATCCCGGTTACGTAGTCTATAATATCTATGGTCAAAGGCTCTTTTCGGGTGATGGCGGCTAGGAGTTGGTAGTTATCGTCAGTTAGTGTTTTACCTTGGACAGATTTGGATCCAATTGTTGCTTCACTGTGTTTCCCAGGTAACTAGTATTGCATTAAAAAGCTAAGTATATGAATTGCGTGCTATCATCTCCCACAATACTCACAAAGATGTAAATTTATGTCTTTTAACACCTTGTGGGCACATTTTCTTAAAAACTAAGCATAGAATTACTTTGAATTTTTGAAAAGATGTGATCTGTATGAGTCTGCATGTACTAAACTTGGCATTTTGATTAAATAAGGAAGGGTTTTAAAGTTATTAGCTTTTTAATGTTTGTTACGTGTACCCCATGGTGGGCACATTTTAGGCCAATCAAGTGTATATGATGGATATTTCTTGATCCAGACATAATGTTTAAGAATGTACTTGTGTACTAGTGATGTCATTTTGTTCAATAAATGTCTTCAAATAGGAGAAATTATGAAGTGAATTGGAAGGAGATAGGAGGTTAAAAATTATTGATGGTGGTGTTTTATTATTATTATTATTATTATTATTATCACTTTACAACGCACAGAACAAAAAGTAAGGATAAGTAACATAAGAGATAGGACAGGATAGAAGTGTTGAAGGACTGACTCCAACTATACTGAAGCAGCCTTTATAGTAGAGTAAAAAGAAAAAGAAAAGGAAAAGAGAAAGAAACAAAATTTAAGTACATGAGCAAGAACTACAGGGACACAAATAATGATATGTGCATGAATTATTTTACTGCCAATTGAAGTAAGTCTTAAGTTGATCATCTACAAAAAGCATTTTGTATTGATTTATGTCATACTAAGGATCAATTTCATCTGTTATGGTTTAATGGCTGGTAGAAACAAAATACCTTTGCATGCACTGTCTACCATATTGAGAAAACCAGGAGTATGGGCCATCAGCAGACTGTAATCATCATTAATAATTGAATCTACTTGT